TTTTTTTTACTTTTTAAAAATCATTTTTAAATTTTATGTAAATTAAAAAAAGAGAGTAGTTTTAAAAACAGGTTTTTATTTTTCAAAATCTATTTTTTTTTCTAATACTCAACTCTTTTTTTCTTTCTCATATTTATCTCTAAAAAATTTATTTCTCACTCTAATTTTTTTTCTTTCTAAATTTCTCTCAACAAAATTTATTTTTCTCTTTCTAAAATTTTCATACTCTGCTCTCCAAATTTTCTTGTAGTTTTATTTTTTATTTTTCTCGACCAATTTCATTTCTGTCTCTAAAAATTTAATTTTTTTTAAACTTTTTTCTCTCTAAAAATTTCGCCTTTTATAACTTTTCTTTATATTTATAATCTATTTTTCCTCTAAAAATTATATCTTATTTTTTCGTTCAATTTTCTTTCACGGTAACTTTTATTTACCTTATGTATTTATTTATTTTCTTTAAAAATTATATTTTGAATCTTGTTTTTATCTCTGAATTTGTTTTCACTATAATTTTTCTTTCTTTATATTTTCTTTTCTTCTTTATATATCTTTTCCTCTCGATTTTACTTTTTGTTTTTCCTAAAATTTTTCTCTTTTTGACATTGACTTTTCTTTCACTATTTTTTTCTAAATCTTTTTATTTTTCTCTCTAAAATTTATCTTCCAAAAATTTATTTACATCACTCTAAATTTGTATTTTCATGTCTGACAAAGATTTTCGCATGGTCGGGCCCCAAAAATAGCAAATGCATGTCTCGACCCTGTCCCCGATTTCATTTTTTAAATAATTGATATATATTTATTACACTTTTTTTATACTTACATTCTAAAAATAATTAAAAACAATTATTAAACAGATAATTTTTCTCGAGAACATCTCTTGGACCGAAGAATGAGGTGGAGACGGGGACTAAAAATTTTCACGAGCACGAGAACGTACAGGGGAGARCATCCTCACTTGCACCCACACCATTGTCATCTCCACCATAAGTAGAATTTTCTCTCTAATATGGTTACTAAATATATTTGGTTTTCTGTTTTTTAAAAACAAAAAACAAAAAACGGTTATCAAACATATATTGGGCCCGTTTGCTAATCATTTTAGTCTTTGGTTTTTGATTTTTCTTGTTTTTAGTTTTTGATTTTTGGCCATATATGTTTGATAACCATTTTTTGTTTTTTTTTTTTAAAAACAGAAAACCAAAACATATTTGGTAATCATTGTTTTGAATTATTTTTAGAATTGAAGTATAAAAAAAGTGTAATAAATATATATTAATTATTTAAAAAATGGAATCGGGGACAGGGTCGGGACATGCATTTCCTATTTTTGAGACCCGACCATGCGGAAATCTTTGTTATCCCCTAATGCAGAGACATGAAATTACAAGTTTAGAAAGATGTAAAGATAAATTTTAGAGAGATAAATAAAAAGATTAAGAAAAAAAATAGTGAAAGAAAAGTTAAAGACAAAAAGAGAAAAATTATAGATAAAAAGATAAAGTCGAGAGAAAAAGATATGTTAAAGAAAAAAAAAGAAATTATAAAGAAAGAGAAAAATTACMTGGAAACAAATTTAAAGATAATAACAAGATTCCAAATATAATTTTTAGAGAAAATAAATAAATACAAAAATAAATAAAAGTTACAGTGAAAGAAAATTGAATGAGAAAATAAAATATAATTTTCARAGGAAAAAAATAGATTACGAATACAAAGAAAAGCTATAAAAGATGAAATTTTAGAGAGAAAAAAGTTAGGAAAAATATTAAATTTTTAGAAAGAGAAATGAAACTAGTCTGTTAGAAAAAAAAAATACAGAAAAATTTGTAGGGAGACAAACAATAATAAATATTCAAAATATGAAAATTTTAGAGAGAAAAAAATAAAGTTTGTAGAGAGAAATTTAGAAATAAAAAATTTTAGAGTTGAGAAATAAATTCTTTAGAGATAAATATGAGAAAGAAAAAAAAAATTGAGTATGAGACCAAAAATCATATTTTGAAAAACCAAAACCTGTTTTTGAAAACTACTTTTTTTTTTTGTTTTTGAAATCTACACAGAATTTCAAAATAGTTTTTGAAAAACAGAAAACAGAAAATTAAATTGATTATCAAACAACTTGTTTTTTAAAAACTAAAAACCAAAAACCAAAAACAAAAAACGAAATGGTTATCAAACGTCCCTATGGTTTTTGTTTTTTAAAAACAGAAAATCAAAAAGCAAAAATAGAAATAGTTATCAAACGGCCCTAAATATTTGCTATATTTACAAATACAACATCAATTTTTTGGTTTTGTAAATATGACCAAATATTTGAAATATGTTTTCAATGCTWTATCAAATCAAGTATATCAACATTTATATAAAGTATATCGTTGGTATATTAGCATTCATATAAGTTATATCGTTGGTATATCAATAAAGTATATCAGTGTTACGGATTCCTTCGATAATATAACAAAATCAATTATATTGATGGTATATCGACATTAAAAATAGTTATAGAAAACATGAATTTAGGTTATAAAAATAGACATTTMATCTAAAATCAGTAAATAACACAATACGATTAAGAGAAATCGGACACAATAAAGAGAARTAATATATCAATTATATAATTGGTATATCAATATTCCTATAAGGTATATCAACGCTTATAATCAAGTATATCAATATTATATTAAATCACGTACATCGATTTTGCTATTTTTTGCAAAATTAAAAAATAGTTTGCTACTTTTACAAATTCCAATTACTACTACTACTATTATTATTATTATTATTATTATTATTATTATTATTTATTTATTTTTAACTTCTGCAAGTGCCCCTCAATGCCTAATGTCCATCCTCAAAATATTTTCTGAAAATTTGACTAACTACAATAATTTGTGGTGCACGACCAAATTGTTATCCTTAATTTTTTTCACAATTCGAAGTTTAATTGTTACTCAATTTTTTTTTAAAATT